TTTGACTGCTTTTATTGTCCTCATTTGTAAGTCGCTTTGGATAAAAGCATCTGCTAAATGTAAATGTAAATGTAAACTGACGACGAAGAAACAAGATGGGCGGGGCTTCGATGCGTCTCTGTCGTCATCGGCAATATACAGGTGCATCTCAATAAATTATAATGTCGTGGAAAAGTACATTTATTTAAGTAATTCAACTCAAATTGTGAAACTCGTGTATTAAATAAATTCAATGCACACAGACTGAAGTAGTTTAAGTCTTTGGTGTGCACTGAATTTATTTAATACACGAGTTTCACAATTTTAGTTGAATTACTGAAATAAATGAACTTTTCCACGACATTATAATTTATTGAGATGCACCTGTATATGCGAACACCTCTTTATATTTCACTGATTCGTTACTGGGGTCTGCTGTGTCACACAACGGAGGCGGATTGAGTTTCTGCAGGAGCTTCTCCACTTCTGTGTGCAGGACTGAAGCCAGTGGACAGCTGCAGTCAACACACTATCACCTGGTTTACACCTGCAAAGTAAGATTATACTCTTCTGTCAGTGTTTAACTTCTTATTTAGAGGAACTTTTGACTACTTGGGTCATGTTCAGTAATTTAATAGTATATTTTGTCTCTAGGTGTGCTCCACTCGCTCTATGAAGACAATATCCAAGCTGGCCTATCACAAGGGTGTTGTCATAGTAACTTGTCCTGGATGTAACAACCACCACGTGATCGCTGATAATCTGCAGTGGTTCTCTGACCTGGAGGGGAAAAGGTGTGTATGTTCTCATGTAAGAACATTATTTCAATAAAAAAAAAAAAACGGGGTTCCACATTTTTAGATGTGAGGGACCCCCATCCTACAACGGAAAAAGCATTATATTATAATACATTTATTTACATTAAGAAAGGCCCAATTTATACTGTGAAAAATTACTAATTTATAAATGTGTGTAAAGTTTTATTTTGGAAAATATTTCTATTACAGTTTTTCTACTCGCAATAGTACCGTACCCCCTGCTAGATGTACGGTTTATTTATTTAAATCTAATTTGAAATCTTCTTCTTATTTTAATATATTTTAATTTGTACAATTATTAATTTAATTAATTTTTATCCATTTTTATTTCATCTTTATTATTATTATTTATTTATTTGTATATTGTTTTTCTCTAAACTTTTCCACAGACCCCCTAGTGGATCCCAGTTTATAAACCCCTGTATACAATGATTAAAATTTATTTTTCCCAAAAATTAATTATACATATAAAAATTATTTATTTATTGCGTTTTATCAAATGTTTATGTATATTTGATCTCATTTTAAAATGTATATTTTAATAATTCTATTTTTTATTTGTTTTAATTTTAATTTAATTGATTTTTTTTCCAATTATTTATTTATTTTTACAATTTTTTGCACTGTTTTTCTCTAAACTTTTCCACGGACCCCCTAGCACTCCATTGCAGCCCCCTGCAGGCCCCCAGTTTGAAAATACCAGCTTTAAAGCATTACGACCAAAACTTCACTGAGAAGTTGACTGCTGTATGTTCTGTGTTGCCATAGAAACATAGAGGAGATCCTGGCTGCTAAAGGAGAATCAGTGCGAAGAGTTCAAGGAAACGAGGCCCTGGAAATTGTTGCAGAGAAATCAATAAAGGAGGCATCCAGAAATAATCCAGATGAACAGAAACCACCACATCTGAGCGATGATTCAGACAAAACATGATTGACATTTGTCAACTGCATCACTGGACATTTATTATTGTGATATTTTTAATAATCTTCTTCTTAAAGCATTAAAAACAACTATCTGATCACTTTGGAGTAGTTGTTTTTAAGTGTTTGGCTCCTCCTTGTGGTCACTGCAACATTTTCACTTGAATGCCCTTTGATATTTTCAACTGCATCACACTTTATCAGCGGCCTTCGACTGGTAAACATGAAGACAACCAAATCAATAGTTTTTGCAACACCTTTACGCTTTTCTTCACGAGTTACATACATATATATTAATGTATTTGTTTTATTTTTTGTTATATCTGTTGTCCTCATTTGTAAGTCGCTTTGGATTAAAGCGTCTGATAAATGACTAAATAAATAAAAAATAAATACATTTTAATATTTTAATATAAAAAAAAAAAATCGTATTTTTTTCTTTCAATTAAAGGGAAATAATGTTTGTTTCAAAAAACTTTTTTTTTTTTTTTGTTTAAATTGAAAAATTGAAAAATTGAAAAATGAATAAAAAACAAGCAAAAATAAATATTTGAAGAGGGACATTCGTCTTTCTCTTTCTGGAAAATAAAAATTTATTTTCATTAAATAATAATAATAATATAATTTGGCAATGAATAGTAAGAAAATAATTATAAACTTAAAATGAAAGGCTCTCTTTAAAAAAAAAAAATAGACGTGTGGGAATAAATTATTTTTTACAAAATTAGAACAGTCAAACCAAAACACTGCAATAAACCCAATTCCAAAATAAGATAAAGCGATGACTTCACAAGTTTCGTGGAGTTTGCGTAGCGTGCTGTGACGCAGTCACGTTCAAAAGCGACAGCATATAAATACAAAAAACCGGTAGCATGGCAATCAGCAGAAACAGGGATTCGACGATGGGCGGGGCTTAGTGGTTAGGATAAAAAAAATAATTTTCCTCCTTCAGTTCTATACAATCTATTCTCAGTTCAGCATATATTAAAGTTTCTCAATATCATTACTCAATTGTAAAATTATCGTCTAAACCCCTAAAGAAGCGTCGCATAGACAGAGTGGGTCACATGACAGCAATTACTTTTCTCAGCGCTGCACTAAACGGACCACTCACAATCGTTTGCAGTTACTAGACACGGCTGCTTTAAAACAACATTCTACAGAAGCGGTTTGCACTTACATGTCAGGAATCAATCTCGAGCGTTTGTAGATTTAAAAGATGATACTTTCTAATCTACAAATGTCTCCAGTAAGGCAAAAAACTTTAAGAGATTTGAATGAGCCTCAATGGCGACTCGCCTTTCCGAGTCACTGAGCGCCCCTGGAGGAACAGAAATGCCCCATGAACATTTACTAACTACGTACAGTAACATTGGAGTACTTAATCGGCCGTGGCTGATAGTGAAACCAGGCGGAAATCGAGCACGCACCGCCCAGACACATGCCCGATCATCTAAAGAACGAGTTTATGCATTCAGCCGCACTGCATACTTGAAGAAAACGCTGGTTTTGTTACTGTACCAGCATGAACTCAGCCGGACTGTTGTGTGAACCCCAGCGGCCGCGGCACAGTCCTTTCCTGATCGGGGTGAGCGGAGGAACGGCCAGCGGAAAGGTACGACACACTACATGCATGATGGAAACTGATGCATACTGCTGTTATAGGCTGTTATATGCATGCAAACCTACAAATGTTGTCTCTTAGATAAGTCACAGTCAACATGCACCTCTTTTGTGCCTTAAATATATAGTGCATGTTTGCATTTAAGTGAAAAGAACGTGTTAATAATTCATATAGCAATAGCAACAGGCCCTTAAAATCTAGTGTCCACTTGTAACAGTATCTGTAATGATATTCAGGCTGATGCAATTGCAAACCAGATTGTCAGTCCAGGTCATTAACTGCTGTTTTTCTCCTGTCAGTCCACAGTGTGCGCAAAAATCATGGAGCTGTTGGGTCAGAATAAGGTGGATCATCACCAGAGGAAGGTCACTATCGTCAGCCAGGACAGTTTCTACCGGGTTCTCACTCCAGAACAGAAGGCCAAAGCTTTGAAAGGCCAGTACAACTTTGACCATCCAGGTAAAAAACAATTGGAAATTATTCGCCCATGAATAAAAATGCTGTCATCATTTACTCACGCTCATGTGGTTTGATCTTTATGCCCATAAAACACAAAACCACTGCGAGAAGGTCAGGAAAACAGATCTTGAACGACACGGGGGGTCATTAAATGCCATTTTTCAATGCACTACTATGTTTTCTCTCTCTCAGATGCATTTGATACGGAGTTAATGTGTCAGACGCTGAAAGACATCGTAGAAGGAAAGGTGGTGGAGGTTCCTACATATGACTTCGTCACTCATTCCAGGCAATAAGACACGCTTTTCCCTCATAATGACACGTAAAGCACTGACACTCTCTCTTCACATGTACTTTGATAGCGTGTGGTTGTCTGAGAACAGACTGTCAATCGTGTGTGTGTGTGTGTAGGCTGCCAGAGAAGATATGTGTGTATCCTGCTGATGTGGTGCTGTTTGAGGGGATTCTGGTGTTCTACACACAGGAAGTCAGAGACATGTTCCACATGAAACTGTTTGTGGACACAGACTCAGATGTACGCCTGTCTCGCAGAGGTAATGCACAAATTATAGTTAAAGCAAACTCTTGTGTCTTTTTATGTTATATAATATAAAATACACATTGTCATCTAGTGTTTATAGCAAGTTTTTTTTTGCATTTTCAAATGATTGCAAAAATAAAAATATATAGTTAAAAAAAAAATATATATATAACTTTTAAATATTTTAAATTACAGCGAAATTTTTGTTAGGTTCAGGTTTTGCTCTTTCCAGTTTTGTTTTTATTTCACATACACATTTCAATTTCATATATGCAATTGTATATCCAGTTTAAAATTCTAGTATCCATATCTATTCTTATTATAGTTACAAAAATAGTACATTTTAAGAGTTAAAAAAGCTTTAATACATTTTTAAAAATACATTTTAAATTGGCAAAACTTATTAGAGGAACTTAAACTATATGAAAAATATAATCCTGCTAATATTACTGCCCCCGAACTTTTGATCGGTTTTAGTTTTCAGCCGAAATGAAATGTTTCATTTGTATTTATGGAAACATAAAAAATTAGAATAATTACCCGAACCGTGTGTTCATCATGTGTTTAGTTCTGCGCGACATGAGAAGAGGTCGAGATCTGGAACAGATTCTCACACAGTACACCACGTTTGTTAAACCAGCTTTTGAAGAGTTCTGCCTTCCGGTGAGAAAACACACAGCAAAAGCCGAAATGACATTTGAGAGTTGTGTTATTGTAATACGATGCATTCATGACATCTGAAATCTCTCCCCAACCTCAGACCAAGAAATATGCAGATGTCATAATACCGCGTGGAGTTGACAACATGGGTAAATATGAGTCACAAGGCAATACATATTCAAAAATAAGCCTTGCTTTTCAAAACTGTTGCTTCTCTTTTGTCTTTTAAATCTTCTTTAGTGGCAATAAACCTGATTGTGCAGCATATTCAGGACATCCTCAACGGTGACATCTGCAAATGGCAGAGGGGTTCTGTCAATGGACACGCCCACGGGCGGAGTCTAAAGAGGGGCGTGGCCGAACACAGCGAGAACTCTAGCGGAGGCGGGATTGTCCCAGTGAAACGCCCCCTACTGGAGCCCAGCACACGACCACATTAACACACACGCGCATGCACTAAAGAGAGTCATACGATCAAAAAACCTAAACGCTTGAATTTTTCTGCATGCTTCCAACACACAATCTCTGTCAGGCTCAGAATTTAAAGGAATATTTTTAATTTTTTGGTGAACTATTCCTTTAAGAATGCCTTCTGCTTCTTATCTGAGTCATCTGACCCTTAGCGTGACCTTTAACCTGTAGTCACATCTTTCTCAAAGAGGAACTGTGCTGTATATATGAAATAGTCCTACATTACTTGTCAGATGCTAATCAGATTCATCTCTACTCATATGTTTATAATAACAGTCGGTACCTATAAACAGGGTAAACTCAACACAAACATTCCAGTCTGTATTTCACTGCCTGATCCGTCTCATAAGGTTATAATTTCACCACTCTAAAACTGTTACTTACACCTATAGAATAAAAAAGTCAACTTGTTTTGTTACTATTGTCAAGTATAATGGCGTTTTAAACACCTGAAATAAAGTTTCAGTGCTGCCTTGTCTAGATCATAAACTCTTGTTTGGTCAGGATAAGACATGAAATAGATGAAGTAAAACACTTCTAGTGAATTATAGTGATAGTTTAGTATTTAAAATATTAATCTCACTATCACTGATGTGACTTTTTAATGTTCTGTATAATTTATGTTGTTCACCTCTGTAATTTGTTTATAAATGTAAATATGATAAAATAGTTCATTTGTAAACCGGTTTTGCATTTTTCTTGTACAAACCTTTTTGAAATATTAAAGAGAACATGCTTACGTGACTTGATGTCTAATTTGTTGATAAAATAAAAATGTTTGATAGAATGAAAATTCATTTAATTTTCATGTTTATTTGTACATCGCTTTTCATAATAGGTGATGTACCATAGTAAAACATGTAACTACTGTGGTACTTGAATGACTAATGTCCATTTACACGCAAACAAATACCATTGTATTTGTCCAAGAAACATGGTATTAGCTATGAGGTAATATTCTACCATAGTACTGATTCTGAATATCCCAAAAAACATACACAAAGAAAATCATGGTATTACCATGGTAACATGTCTAAACGCAATGACCATGATATTTGCATATTACTACAAAATACAGTACTGCTCACTTGTTTGGGGTCAGGATGTTTTTGAAAGTCACCAAGGCTGCATTTATTTGATAAAAAACAACAACAGTTATATTGTGAAATGTTACAATTTTAAATATCTTTCTATTTGAATATAGATGTTAAAATGTAATTTATTCCTGTGATCAAAGCTGAATTTTCAGCATCATTACTCCAATCTTCAGTGTCACATGATCTTCAGAAATCATTCTAATATGCTAATTTGCTGCTCAAGAAACATTTCTGATTATTATCAATGTTGAAAACAGTTGTGCTGCTGAATATTTTTGTGGAAACCATGATACATTTTTACAGGATTCTTTGATGAACAGTAAGTTCAAAACAACAGCGTTTATTTGAAATAGAAATCTTTTGTGACATAAATGCATTTATTGCCATTTTTGATCAATTTAATGCATCCTTGCTGAATAAAAGTACTAATTTCTTTGGTAATGGCAGTAGTATGGCCCTTTTTTGTAGGTGTAAACATGCTAAATATAGTGTTGGAAAAATTCAAAGACAATACAAAGAGAGCAGTTTTATTGGTGGTTGAATATGCAGGATGTTATGGGTGTAACAGGAAATAAATTCCCAGAAGGCAGTAAACATCACAGACGCCGCACACACACACACACACACACACACACACTGAAGAAAGCGGCTTCAGCTTCCCTTCTCCCATTTGAGAATAACAACGTTCTGTAGAAAAGCCACATTCACACACACACACACCTCTGATGCCCAGAGATCACAGCATATTCAGTCCTCGAGTTTTTTGCCTCATAATGTATTTTAGTGTACGACTCATTTGGTTTGAAAATATATTTCCTCGTAACTGCCCTCTACATGATGAGAGATTATACATCACATCTGTACATGTACATATACACAGAACATATCATACACGTCCCAAAAGAAACAAAAGCCTCCACAGGCACACTGTCGAACTGCTCGTCGCTAGGCAACACTGAGCCCCACCCCTCTGTGTGACATCATAGTCCGCGCAGGTAAATGTTAAAGTAGTTTTTTGCAATAATCAAAAGACAAAAAAATTATAAATTAATTTTGGATAAAGGAAAAAAAGCCATTAAGACACTATATTCATGACAATTAAACATATATCTAAATTTTGAGCCTTATAAAGCATGAACAATTTTCTTAAAGCTTTTCTTATGTATTGAACAATTTAATGATTTTCTGTTTGAATCTTTCATAAGCCATTCTCACGTAAACTTATGAAAAATGTGCATAAAGGATTTATGATAATTTGTTGTTTTTGTTTTATGAATGTGACCCATTTTCCCCTTCAAATTAGCATACATTTAATTCAATATTATGTTTGTACTGTATGAATGCACTTTGCTATTCAGTTGAATTTAAATGAATCTATTTTTATATTAATGTATTTTTGAATTTTTGAATTAATGTATTTTTTTGCATTTTGCAAGCTACTGAGAATTGGGACGAGAAAGAAATGTGCATGAAAAGGAATAGTCGTGAAAATAATGTCACAATGCAAATTTTTATTTTTAAGGCAAAAAAAGCACACGTCCTTGAGGGTTTTCATGGGATTCGAGGGGCTGTCAGCGTTGTGACGGGGTAAACAGTTGTGATGAGGGTTGCACATGGTCACACACAAAACAATATTGCAAGACGACATGAAAAATGAGTCCAAACGTCCAGTTCATTCTTTAATTTTCAAATGAATATATTCCATATAGTCAATTACTCACTGCATCTGTCAAAACATAATAATTTCAACAGATCAGCGAATATTCCTTATAAAATGCTTATAGGATTGCACACGTTTCCCAATCGACCCATTTGCACAGCTCCAAACGGGCGAATCGTAGGTTGAATCAGACCTTTGGAAGGTCAGATGGTACGTCCGAGCGGGACAAACAAAAACACGAACTCACTCCATCAAGCACAGTGTATTAATATCAAATGAACCAAGCCCTCTTAGAGTGTGTCTTTCTGTACAGCCACACATAGACACACGCAAACATAGCAATTTATAATGATTTAGCTTTATATCACAGCGTTGGGGTCCTCTCCAGCCCTGTGTGCGTGCGCGAGTGCGTATCTATACTGAATTAGGATTCCCCTCGTGAATTTTTAAAGTCAACAGTCAGGGAAAAAATACTGCCAATGTCTCAGTTTATTGGTGCAAATAGGAGCTTGCGTGTCTCGGTTCAGCTCCAGAACCGGATTAAGAACTCTAGCGTGGGTTCCCAAGGTTCTGCAGGAGGTTCAGGTCTCACCGTAAATAGTCTCTGAGGTTCTAGATTTCAGGATCTAGGTCTTCTCCTCTCGCTCTGTCCTGCGGCGCGAGATGTTTCGTGGTTTGATCTTGAGCGAGAGCTCCCATAACGCCTCCTCCGCCAGGTGATCGCTAAAGTCGTTGAAGAACGAGACGATGTCTTCGTTCCGTTTCAGTTCGTAGTGTCTAAAATGACAAAAGAGAAAAATTTATAATTGAACCAATTTGTAAATCAGTTACTAGTGAAATCAGCAACTGATATATGAAATGTATATTAAATTAAACATTATTAATAAATTAAAAACATCATTCATATATAACACATAATTGTGTTTTTTGTCATAATTTCAACTTTTCATCTCAAAATGACTCTTTATGCCATAATTATGCTTAATGAAATTTTTCTTCTTACGTGGTGGAAACAGATGAGTGATGTTTGATTTGAAAACAGCCTTTCAAGCCTCGTTGCTTCATTCTACAAATCAGTTCAAGTGAAGTCTACACCAGACTTTTGGACTGCAGTTTGAATCACGTGTAATCTAATCTCACGCTCGTCAAACACTGGGTTTCAGGCCAGCCATTACTCACACTTGCTGGAAGCGTCTCATGCTGTCCAGAATGTTGAACTGTTGCCAGCGCTTGGAGAAATTCACTTTACCATCAATAAAATCCGGGTTTCCGAGGTGAACAAACGTCAGGTCCTGTAGGATCAAACCCCTGTCAGGGAAAAAAAAACCTTATTAGCAAAACTAAAACATGGAACATTAAACAATTGTCAATAACAGTCGTGTGTGTGTGTGTGTGTGTGTGTGTGTGTTACGGTTTTGAATATTTATTTTTAATAATACATATTTAATTAGCATGAAATATTTTAGTTATTTTTTTATTTTCAGCAGTGAAATTAGTTACTGTTTAGTTTTATTTAATAAAGGCATTTTTGTTGAAATTCAGCAGATGTGCATGTCAGTGTTTGTTATTGCTAACAAAAACTATTAAAAATAATTTTCGGTAAATAAAATGAAGATTAAATAAAATAAAGTTGAAAAATAAAATGCAAAACTTAAACTTAAATGAGAAATGTTGCCTTGGCAACTAACTGAAATACGTTTGTTGAAGTAATACAATTACTAAAAATGACTAAAATAAAAATAAATTAAAGCTAAATAAAAATATTTTTAAAAGCTAATAAAAATAACAAAAGCACAAAACAAAATGACTAAAATTAAAATGAAAATATAAAAATTAAAGGGTCATTTAAAATATTAATAAATATCACTGTTCCACCTTTATTTGACCCTCTAACTCTAACACTTTCTATTCTATTTTAATTCTACTTTATCTATATTTATCTTCTTTATTTTTTTTTATTAAAAAAAACAACAACAAAAAAACAAACACTAGCTTTCTATTTTTTCTATTCTATCTACTTGTTTTTCTTTGTGTGTGTGTGTGTCTATAATAATACATAAAATAACACTGGTGCACTTAGTTTTATGCAGGTCAAAATTCAGTCATGAACCTCACAAATTTAGTAAAAGATAGGATTTTTCGCTTCTCTGACTCTCAAACGTTGCAAATCTGGCGGACTTTGCCAGACAATCCTTTGGTAAGCAGTCTGAGGCTGAAAGAGCCATCTTTCATGAGCATGAAATGCTTTAACAACATGAGCATGAAATGCTTTAATTTCAGCTTGTTTTCTGACTCCTGATTTTATTTGACTAGTTTTGTTCGACACACAAACTCACAGGTATGGTATACATGGAGGCTCCACTTCTGCTAGCGCCGCTCTGTACGCTCTGAAGGACGACGAACTGTCAATCAAAGTGCAGTACTCTTCCAAACCCTACAAAAAGAGAGACAGAGGTTAAAAAAAAAAAGATATTAGATATACAATCTTTACATATTTCATATGATCAGATACTATTGAATTATGTTAGTTTTGGCAGTGAGAAGGAAATCAGACTGGTGTGACTGACCTCAGACGTCTGCTTCTGCCATTCCAGTCGTCTGATTGGTGCAGAGTCCAGCGCCGAGAGAATCGCCAAATAAGAGTTGAAGTTATTCAGTTTCCGCAAGTGCTATGAGCAAGACAAAAACATTAAATCACTCAGAAAATAGAGAGAGTGATGCATTCAGAATCACCCCACAGCGTAATGTTCACATATGTGTGTGTTACTCTAGTTACCTTCATGATTTTGATGAATTTGAGCAGCAGTTTCTCTCTGTCCTGAGCTTTCTCCTGTTGGATGATTATAGAGCGCACCCTAGTGGACAGGAGGAATTACATTTGAGTACACACATG